AGTGCCACTCCTGCCACGATCTGCGAGCGTGTCACGGATAGAGGCCGCGCTGAGGGACACCACCCTCTGCGCACCCCCTGTGGCGTCGAGAAAGTGCCACGCCTGCCACGCCCTGCGAGCGTGTCACGGATAGAGGCCGCGCTGAGAGACCACCCTCTGCGCACCCCCATGTGGTGTCGAGAAAGTGCCACTCCTGACACGATCTGCGAGCGTGTCACGGATAGAGGCCGCACTGAGGGACCACCCTCTGCGCACCTCCATGTGATGTCGAGCCGCGCCTGCCACGCCCTGCGAGCGTGTCACGGATAGAGGCCCCGCTGAGGGACCACCCTCTGAGCCCCCCCAGTGGCGTCGAGGAAGTGCCACGCCTGCCACGCCCTGCGAGCGTGTCACGGATAGAGGCCGCACTGAGGGACCACCCTCTGCGCACCCCCATGTGATGTCGAGAATGTGCCGCGCCTGCCACGCCCTGCGAGCGTGTCACGGATAGAGGCCCCGCTGAGGGACCACCCTCTGCGCCCCCCCAGTGGTGTCGAGAAAGTGCCGCGCCTGCCACGCCCTGCGAGCGTGTCACGGATAGCGGCCGCGCTCAGGGGCCACCCCCTGCGCACCCCCTGTGGTGTCGAGAAAGTGCCACGCCTGCTGTGCCTGGACGACTGTCGTGCATAGCGGCCGCGGTGAGAGACCACCCCCTGCGCACCCCCTATGGTGTCGAGGAAGTGCCACGCCTGCCACGCCCTGCGAGCGTGCCACGGATAGAGGCCCCGCTGAGGGACCACCCTTTGCGCCCCCCCAGCGGTGTCGAGAAAGTGCCGCGCCTGCCACGCCCTGCGAGCGTGTCACGGATAGAGGCCCCGCTGAGGGACCACCCTCTGCGCACCCCCTATGGTTTCGAGGAAGTGCCACGCCTGCTCGCCTGCCGCATGGCTTGCCGTGTGTATGTGTATGATGCGTGTGCGGCCATATCGGGACATATCTCACGTGTTGCCCAGTATGCCGTGCAGACGTCTTGGGTGTAATTATGATGCAGTGAACATGCGTCTTGTATGTGCGACTGTGTGCATGCGTGCGGCTGTGTGCGAGTGTGTCGGTGAGGAGGCGGGAGGTGTGTGAGACGCGGGTGCGGCGCGGCAGGGAAGAAAACCAGAACCCCACGACGAAGCATGTGGGGAACAATCATTGTCCTTAGGTGTTGGAAGTATTTTGACATTTGCTTCTTTTCGGCCTTTCGATGGCCCGAGACGGCCCAAGAGCCTCCAAGAGGCCCCCAAGAGGCTTCCAAGAGGCCCCGAAGACGGCCCAGGAAGTCTTTCAGACGCCCAAGATGGCCTCCAAGACGGCCCTGGAGCAGCCCAAGAGGGCCCCAAGTCGGCCCAGCAAGGCCCCCCAAACGGCTTCCGACGGCGTCAGACGGGCCAGGAGCCCACCAAGATGGCCGAAGATGGCCCTAAGATGGCCCAAGACGACCAAGGAGACCTCCAGGAGGGTCTCCAGGAAGGCCTGAAAAGGCCAAAATCATTGATTTCCCATGAGTTGTTGAAGGATTGTGGCAATTGCTTTGTGTTCGGCCTTCCGACGGCCCGAGACGGCCCAAGTGCCCCCAAAGAACGCCGAAGAGGCGTTAAGACGGCCCTGAGAGGCCCCCACGACGGCCTCCAAGACGCCCAAGACTCCTCCTCCTCATCTCCTCCTCCGTATGTTCCTCCTCCTTCTCCTCCTTATTCCTTCCCCCCCCTCCTCCTCCTCCTGATTTTCCCCCCCATCTTCCCAGAAGTGTTCGGGTTTCCACAACGGTTGGGGGAACACATGGTCCGACAGCTTGGCAGAGCTCGTGCCACAACGCTCGGACACATGAGCGCTTTCAAACCTCTTGCTCCCCCACGCGTTCCCCGAAGGCTCTCCAAACCGACTCGGGGAACAACTGGCCCACTACCTTGGCCAGGCTCCAGCCCAGCTGTCAGCCACATAGGCGCTTCCACAAAGGCAGGGGGCGGCGGTGACTCGCCGTAGGCGTCTTCGATCACTCGCCGGGTGTTTTGACAGATGCCTCAGGAGAAACACGCAACAACCGCCAGTTTCCCAAGGCGCCGGCGATGTGGCGGAAGCCCAAGAATCAACGCAGAGCAATGCAGTGCAAGGCAACGCAGTACAATGCAAAGCAATGAAAAACAATGAAAACTATAAAAAAAACGAAAAAAAAAAAAAAAAAAAAAAAAAAACGAACAACAATGCAAAGCAACGAACAACAATGCAAAATTAGCCTGACTGAGGACCCAACCATGTGCAATTGCGAGTACCGCATTGTGGACCACGAAACTTGTGAGGGGTGCGGTGTAGCTCCCGATGGGGCCACGAAGCGCTGCCCTGGGCGAGGGAGACGCATGCGAACTGCGCCATTGGGACTTTCGCTGGATCTCCTTATGGGGCCACGAAGCGCTGTCCTGGGTGGGGGAGACGCGTGCGAACTGCGCCTCTGGCGCCTTCGGTGGAGCTCCCTCTGGGGCCACGAAACGTTGTCCTGGGTGGGAGAGACGCATGCGAACACTCCGATTGAGGCCTTCGGTGGAGTTCCCTATGGGGCCACGAAGCGCTGTTCTGGGCAGGGGGGACGCATACGAACACTCCCACTGGGGCCTTCGGTAGAGCTCCCTATTGGGGCATGAAACGCTGCCCTGGGTGGAGGAACCGCATGCGCCCACCCCCACTGGGGCCTTCGGTGGAAGTCCCTATTGGGGCACGAAACGCTGCCCTGTGTGGGGGAACCGCATGCGCCCACCCCCTCTGGGGCCTTCGGTAGAGCTCCCGATGGGGCCACGAAACGCTGCCCTGGGTGGGGGAACCGCATGCGCCCACCTCCACTGGGGCCTTCGGTGGAGCTCCCGATTGGGCCACGAAACGCTGCCCTGGGTGGGGGAACCGCATGCACCCCCCCACTGGGGCCTTTGGTGGAGCTCCCTATTGGGGCACGAAGCGCTGCCCTGGGCGGGGGAACCGCATGCGCCCACCCCCACTGGGGCCTTCGGTGGAGCTCCCGATGGGGCCACGAAACGCTGCCCTGGGTGGGGGAACCGCATGCGCCCACCCCCACTGGGGCCTTCGGTGGAGCCCCCTATGGGGCCACGAAACGCTGCCCTGGGTGGGGAACCGCATGCGCCCACCCCCACTGGGGCCTTCGGTGGAGCCCCCTGTGGGGCCACGAAACGCTGCCCTGGGTGGGGGAACTGCATGCGCCCACCCCCCCACTGGGGCCTTCGGTGGAGCTCCCCATGGGGCCACGAAACGCTGCCCTGGGTGGGGGAACCGCATGCGCCCACCGCCACTGGGGCCTTCGGTGGAACTCCCTATTGGGGCACGAAACGCTGCCCTGGGTGGGGGAACCGCATGCGCCCACCCCCACTGGGACCTTCGGTGGAACTCCCTATGGGGCCACGAAGCGCTGCCCTGGGTGGGGGAACCGCATGCGCCCCCCCCACTTGGGCCTTCGGTGGAGCTCCCTATGGGGCCACGAAACGCTGCCCTGGGTGGGGGAACCGCATGCGCCCCCCTCCCACTGGGACCTTCGGTGGAGCTCCCTATAGGGCTACGAAACGTGTGAGAGGTGTGCCGAGAGCAGAGGCAAGGAGGGGGAGGAGGGAGGAGGGGGAGGAGGAAGGAAGGAAGGAGGAACGCGGGGCACCGTCTCTTCCAAACGAGGACCCAACACCACAGGATGGTTGGGAACAGCGCAGAACGTGCAAACAACGAAAAACAACGAAAAACAACTTAGGCAACGCAAAACAACGAAACACAGTGCAAAACAACGCAGAACGGAAGGGCGGCGACGGGCGGCCGCACGCCGGCCAGACCGCCACGGAGGCACCCGCGAGCGTGGCGGCGACGGACGGGGCCGACGAGGGGCGACGGGCGGCCACGAGCTGGCCGCACCGCCACGGGGGGCCCAGTTCCGGCGGTGGACACACCGTAGGGGCTCGACCACAGGAAACCTCCCACAAGGAACCCAACCCTGAGGCCCCAGGATCTGCGTCCATTTTTGGTGCGGGATCGTCGCGCTTCCAATGGCAAAACCACCGAGACGCAAGACACCCAGGGCACCCTTGAGGCAAGCAGGCTGTCTCTTGGCATGTCGGCGGTGGACAAACCTCCATTTAGTAAGCCTCCCTTCAGTGAAGACGGCATGGGACCGATGCCGACGGACCGACGGGCCCGCAGAAATGACGGCCGCGACGCCCTCTCGCGAACCGGAAACGGCCCATTCCTGAATCGACGTGTGATGGCAGGAGGTCTGTCCACCCCCGACAGTTGCCCTGGAAGACGAGCAGGAACCCCCAAGTGCAAGCACTGTCTGGGGAATTACTCAGCACGAAGGCGACTCTCATTTCTGCCTTGACTACGTGCTGGAGGTACTGGTTCCTCCGAGACGTGTGTTGATTTGCACCGCACTCCAGGTGTTGGTGTTGTTGCTTGCCCAGAGAGTTTTCGGTGTTTCAACATTGTGCTCGTGCTGCAGCGGTGGACCCATCTTAGGATCGGCGCGTTACTGCCGTCATTCAGAATGGCGCTCTCGCCTCACCGCGGGCCACATATCCGAATCCGAGCCGCTTCTCGTCATTATCCACACGCCATCTTTCCCTCCTCCGTCTTCCCCTGCTTCTCCTGCTCCTCCCGCTCCTCCTACTCCTCCTGCTGGTGTTCCACATCGTCCTCCTCATCCGCCCCTTCTTCCTCGTGATCATCCTCCTGCTCATCCACCACCTCCTCCTCCAGTGTGCACAGCTGCTCTCTTCAAATTGCACATCAAAAGATGGGGTCCTGAGGGTTCCATGCCTGCTCTAACACCCGTCGGGGGAAAGAGAAAGATAAGCGCAATGGGGATGGGTGGGAGGGGTAGGAGTTGGGACATGGCGCAACCGCGCCTAGCCTGTCCTCCCCACCTCACCCTCCTCCTCCCCCCGTCTCCTATTGGCCCTCGTCATCCTCTTGCCCACGGAGGGTGCCCCGTCCTCTCCGTCTTTCTCTGCTCCGCCACGCCGGTGTACTCATCCTGCTTGACGCCCTCGGCGGGAGGGGATCGACGTTCGAGGACCGGTGACTTGTTCGACGTTCCGGCTTCGAGGATCGGGATTAGAGGATCGATGCTTCGAGTACTGCTTTGTCATTGGAGGCTCTAGGACAGAGGGCTGAGGAGTCATGGGCGTATCGACGGCGTGCTCGACTCGACGTTCGAGATTCAAGGACCGTGGTTGGAGGATCGAGTTGCCGAGGACAGTTTTGTCATTCGAGGCTCGAGGACCGATGAGCTTGGGGCGTGTCGATGCCTGGATTGGCCTGCGAGGCACGAGGCTCGAGGGCCGTGGCTCGGGGATGCTTTTTTCGGGGGGTTGCGGGCACTCTTGAAGGGGCCCCAGGACACACAAACAAATACACACAAGTAAACATATTCCCCATAGTTTCCTATATTTTCTGGGTTCCTGTCTTCCCCCCCCACACTTCCCAGATTTTCCTATATTTTCTTGGAAAATCGACGATTAATTGTGTCTGTGTGTTTCTCTCCCTCCTGAACTCTGCCGTCCGAGAGGCGCCCTGCCTTCTCCGAGCAGCCCTTCGCCCTCCGGGAAGCTTCCCCCCCCCTCGCGCGCGCACTTCGACGGAGTGGCTCTCTTCGCAGCCGCTCGCCGCGTCGAAGCCCTGGAGCTCCGAACCCCCGTCCAGGGGCAGCTCTTGAGCCGTTCCCTGGCGGCCCTGGGCCCCGGGCCAGAGCTCCTGAGGCCCAGCGCCGAGAGAACCAGCAGAGCAGCAGCCGCTGTTCTCGGCGACGCGAGGGGGTGGAAAAGGAGGCCTCGGACGGTGTGGTGGCAGACCGTGCGGTGGCCTCGACATCCCCAAGGACGCCACCGCACGGTCCGTCCCCGCAGCGCCCCCGAGGCCCTGGAGGCCCCCGCCGCCCGCCTGGCGCCGTGTGCGGCCACCCCGACCCCCCCCTGACTCGCACCACACGGCGAGCTCACTGAAACGCTTGGGCAGGTGGCGACGACGACGACGACGACGACGACGACGACGGCGGCGGCGGCGGCGGCGACGACGACGACGGCGGCGGCGGCGGCGGCGGCGGCGGCGACGGCGGCGGCGGCGACGGCGGCGGCGGCGGCGGCGGCGACCCCCCGAGGCGGCAGGGGCGCAGGTGCCGGCGACCAGTCATCGACCCTCCTGCCTCGACGGTGGGAGGGGGGCTATGTGGCTCCCATCGTACTTTCGGCGGTGGACACACCTCCCTTTAGTAGACCTCCCCTTAGTGAAAACGACCTTGGACCGAAACCGACGGACCTGGACCCGCAAAAATGACGGCCGCGACGCCCACTCGCGAACCGAAAACGGCCAATTCCTTAATCGACGTGTCAGGGTGGGAGGTCTGTCCACCCCCGATACTTAAGGACCACATCCCCAAAATAACTTCGAGCACCCAGAAAAGTATCGAAACGGTGTCGAACGAGTATCGCCTCTCAGGGCCCGGCGCGTGAAATCCCTCCAGTTTCGTTACTCTCTTGGTGCTCGCTGCTCTTCCTGGCGGTCCAAGCTAAAGCAGGTAGGGGTATCATATGGCGGGGGTAGGGTTCGGATTTCGCCACGCGCTCGACGAGGTCCGAACCCTAGGGGGAAAACAAACCTACCTCGCTTTTGACCACCCTCGCTTCCAAGAGATACCAAACGATGCCAAATTGAAGCCTGTACTGGTCAGGCCGCTTGACGAGGAGGCGCGTGGTATGACTTGGTTTTGTCTGGAAGCGAAAGCGGGGGAGGTAATTCACGCTCGGAGAACCCCGCCTCCGCCGCCCCATCGATCTGCCTGAGTCGCGGATCGGCGAGGGCGGGGGTCTGGATGCCGGCGCCGAGGGAAAGCACGGCGACCCTCGAGGACCCCCCCCCCGCCCCCCCGGAGGCTGAAGAGCTGCAGCCCAGAGCTTCCCGTCGCAGTGTTGCCCCCACCGCGGAGGAGGAGGAGGAGGAGGAGGAGGAGGAGGCGGAGGAGGCGGAGGAGGAGGGGGCGGAGGGGGAGGAGGCGGAGGAGGAGGACGAGGCGCGGGGGGTCTCCAACCCACTCCCTCCTCTTCCACTTCA